TTATTCAATTCCGCCTAATAGTTATAGATATACCCGTTAAATTTCTTACATGGTCGCCGTCGGGAGCCCGACGGCCCATTGGAGAAGGCTAATTAACGCTTAAAAGTTTAGGGCAAAGAAAAGGGGGAAAAAGGGGAAGTCGAGAGAGAAAAGAGATTTTTCTATTCTTTTTCTTTGTTTATCATTAGTATGGATCTCGTGTAATGCACAAATAAACAATAATAAATAATTTACGATGTATTTAAAACACTAAAATTTGCTATTCCGAAAATTTCACCGATACACTAATTGGACCTGTAATACCATACCAATAATTAGGTTGGTATAACCACCGTTAAAAACACTAAAACCGAATAGAATCTTAAAGTTAAATAACATATGGTTGTATGTATTATTAGGCCGATTAATTAAATATTTGACCTAAATATAGTTTGCACACGAATTCTGTTTGCATGTCTTGCAAGCTTTACACAATAATGGATTAGTGGTCACAACCTTGGCCATAATTTTTTGTTAATATCATATGAATAATACCGTAGTGCTGTTAAATTAAACGAGCCTGGCTCGGCTCGGCTCGAGCTCGGCTCGTTAAGGCTCGGTTCGGCTCGAGCTCGAAGCCTTAACGAGCTGAGCTCGAGCTCGTTTAAAGCTCGTTTGGTTAACGAGCTCGGCTCGATAAGGCTCGTTAAGGCTCGAAAAGTGAAATTTATATAATTTTTTATAGTTCGGCTCGTTAAAGCTCGAGATCGGCTCGTTAAGGCTCGAGCTCGAGCTCGATTTTTTGCTCGTTTACTTAACGAGCCGAGCTCGGCTCGGCTCGTTAAGAGCTCGAGCTCGAGCTCAAACACCTTAAGCTCGAGCTCGGCTCGGCTCGTTTACAGCCCTAAATTAATACGTATGACTTACTGTTGAGGTCTCATAATGCTACGGTGCTGTTACAGAATTATTCGGTTGGAATTTGTAACCGTTAGATCATCATGTAACCGTCCGGGATAATTGATCTAACGATTACAAACTCCAGCGGAATGATTCGTAACGAGACCGTAGCATTTCCCATATCATTACCTTAATAATTTATATGAATTACTTTTGAGGCCTCATATCATTACCTTAATTAATTCGAAGATACTCCTTCAAATTTATATAAATATCACAAACAACCCCTACTTTTGAATCAAACCTCAAAGTCTTATTTATTTATATTATTGGAAAATGCTATGGTCCCGTTACGGTACCATCCCGTCGGGTGTTTTAACCGTTGGATCATCTATCTTATCTAACTACACGTGGATCCAACGGTTAAAACACCCGACGGCATGATACCGTAACGGGACCGTAGCATCTCCCTATATTATTATTCCCTTTGTGTTAATTAGATAAAAAAAAAAAATCAAAACTGGAAAAGTTTTTTTTTATTATTAATTTTTTTTTATTCTTTGACCACGAAAATTATATTAATCTATAGTTAAAACAAAGTTGGGTTGGTCCAAGTTATTTGCAACTGGCGTGACCATTTCTCAAATGATGGCTTTA